TGTTCCAATAGACGATTCTCACGCGACTGTGCTCTTCATTGAGTTGTTTTGGAACCCATTCTGCACAGACTTTGTAGAAGTTAAGGTTGTTATGCATGATTTAATAAACAGAGCCATGGCTAATGTGCAGATGGTTTGCCACATCGTCACTCGTGTGTTATTGAGGATGAAGGCACGCACATATTCACGGGTTGTGGGGGCTGTTTCTGGACGCCCCGTTCTTTCTCCAACTTCCACGCTCGTTCGACCATTTGAACTGTTCTGGTAACTGGCGATATACTGTCCCTGTATTGTGCTGAAACTCTTCAATGAATTTCGGCTCCTAGTTCACCTTCAGACCCCAACAGACCATACGGATTACGGAACGATGCTCTTCTTTAGTGCAAAGAGAAAGATCCGCAGCCATTTTTACGTAGCAACATCACAAGATTGGTTAATCAGATAACGCTGAAACGTCCCATATGCGAAGATAGATTTAAATTTATTTAGTAAAAAAAATATTTTTTGAAAGTAAAAACTGTATGTGGCGTATGGGAAAGAATATCATCTGCGCACGTTTTCTTGAGTTCCAGAATCCCTTCCCGTCATTTTAACTATAAATAGTTGAAAGATGAGTAAAAGTTTAAAACAAATGAAAATAAATTTTTAAAAATCGCGAGATTAGCAATATTTGAAAAAATACACATATTCGTTATAGGAAATGTATTTGCATCGGTAAACGAATTGCAAGTATGATTTTTCTGCATCGGTAACTAAATAGTACTTCTACTCCTACCATTACAAAGAAAAGAAGAGTTTAACAAAACGGGCGCATAGTGAAGCTACATTTACGTCCACATGTAAAACAAGTGGTCCAATCTATGGGCTGATGATCAGGTCCAATCTACTGGTTGGTGAGCACACAAAGTCGTTGAGCCAACCTAAGGACAATTAGAGCCAAATTGCAGATACTTATTGACTTACCTGCGTAATTTCATATAATATATGTGAAGGTAATACGATCACGTTAAACGCTTCAAATTTTCCTATTTATATATTTCAACATTTGGCCAAATTAAGAGCATCTTGATGAAATTTAAAAATACGGCCTGACATGATTTTAATAACGTAAAGATTACTTGGTTGCTCACAACACTTCAGTGATTTATGCAATGAGACTTTATTATACAAAAATGAAAACATCAGTAATGTAAACTTTAAAAAAATAGTTTAATCAGTTTGACCTTGAAGACAAATGATAGTTTCTTTGTCTTTAATAGTTAGTCCTACAAGTTCTGCGTGTACATACTCCTCACACACTGCATCGACACATGTCCTACATCTTTTGTTGGCTTTATTTCATGGAAACGTGTTTCTTCTCGTCAGAATTATCTTTATTATTTTTCTTTGCCTGCTGATCCACTTTCTTATTGTCTCTGTATGTTGATGGTTTACTTTAAACGTCTGACGTTGAAAACAAATCCTTTTTTAAAAACAATACTGCAATTGTTTATTGATGGAGATACTATGGTCGTAAGTGCAGGTAATAAATATGCCCATCACCCCTGTCCATATTAACAGCAAAAACTTATTATAAAATCTCTCCCTCGTTCGTAAAATATTGAAAAAATTTTACGGTATTAATCTGATTTTGTTGCGTCTACATAGCTGCACCCGTCACCAAGCCCCTTGGGGAGCGTTGAGCGCTTGGAGTAATCCTCAATTAATTACTACGCGGAAATAATCCCCCATCAACTCTTTACATTGTCCGGCAGGTCTCGTTTCAGTCAGTTGTCAAGAGGACCGCCAGGTAGCATCTCCGCGTACGCGCTTTTCTCTTGCGCGCTCCTGAGTCACTACCCAGCGGCCAGAAAAGGAAAGGAATTTGGATTTGGATTCGGGTGGGGTTTAGGACATTTCAAAGGAGTTGGACTAGCCCTTTTGAAGCAGCCAAACTCGTTTTGTGGGAACAAATCCCACATGAGATTGGCCGGGAATCGACGGTAATTGAACCTGGACCTCATTGGTGAAAGACGACCGACTTCGTTCTGAGCCATCTTATTTGCTCATTAAATGCGCTCAATGTTTATGTATATTGTAAAATACTAAATACTTCTTTAAGTGTAACTAATGATAAAATCACTTTAAAAGAAGTTACAAGGATACAGCGCTCTCAGGACGTTCTTGACAATGGAGGCTTCCGAGTGTGAATGCGCGAGAAATAAGCCTGGTAGAGGGTGAACGCATTTTTGCGCTCACCCAGACAGCATGCTAGTACTATGGTATACATTTTCAGTTAACAGCATAGCCGCTACTAGGCCACATTAGCATCACTAACCTTTTTTTAAAAAAAATAATGTTATGCAACCTTAGCACGTCTCCTAGCTCCTCAAGGTGAGTTCTCCGGTGAATCTTCCGGTATTAATATCACCCAGCCCCTTCTATGGACAGCTGAGTAGTCGAGTCAAGGAACCGCCGATAGGTTGTCTCTTTGCGCTTCTATCTCGCACGCGCCCTGCGTCATCAACCCATCAGCCAAACTTGGGAAGGAATAAGGATAGGGGTAAAGTAAGGACTCTTCACAGGGGTTGGACTAGCCCGTGAACTAGTTTTATCGTAACAAATTTCTCATGAATCGAACCGGAACCTCGGTGGTGAAAGGCAAACAACTTAGACACTGATCCACGAGAGCAAGTTTTTTTTTTAAAAAAGATGCCTTACAACGATATTGCATCTCTTTTTTCCTTGTAGGAAGACGCTGAAAAAATTTCAAATTTTTGAAATTTACGAAAAATCAAAGATTTCAACGAAAAGGAGACGTGCCCTATTTAACAAACAAAATTCAATAAAAAAATTTGAGCAATTATTCTTTTTTTTTTATTTTGAAAATGCCCGAGGTATTTTATGTTAAGTATCCACAGAAATGAAAATATTGGTTTCAAATTCAGGCCGCTACATCCGGCAGATCGATTGGGGAATATCAATTTTGCAGAAAATCGGCTGAACGGTTTATGCGCTAGCGTTGTGCACGGACAGAGACACGTTTTGCTGCCAATCGATTTTTCGGTATGAAGAACACACAAAAGAGATCCTGGTTACACCGTGGTTTATATGATTTCTATCTATATGTAGAAGCTGGATTTATCGACTTTTTCGTTACTCGGGCCGGGCAATAAGAGATTTATGTCCAAAATGAGCAGTTTTCCAGCCCACAATTACAATACTTTCTCTTCTTACATTACGAGCGAGAAAGTAAAAAAAATAGTACATTGCACAGAGAGAAAAAAAAACTGTACAAGTAACTTTAGATTTTCTTTTGTCTAGCAATAATGGGAAAGGAATTATAATTACCCAGAGTTGCGAAAATCGAATGGTCATACAGTACAACATACTGCACGGGGTCAAACAAATCGTTATATCACAAAATCTATTTTACCTATAAAGTTACCACTTCACAGAAGTTCCTATAAGACACATGGGACTCAGCATACAAAATTCGAGATAGTCTCCCGGTGCACGTTTCCGAAATTTGCTTGAAATTACTATTTTTATTCTTCCAGAGCAACATTTTACTTTACAGGTTTAAAAACTGCACTCTAAATCAATGGCTCAAGATATGAAAAGATGTAAGGACATTTATTAAAGAACACATCTTTCATTTAAAACGACAAAATCATTAGAATGGGATTATTAAGGTAATGCTGTCAAATTTTTTTTTTCTGTCGTCTTTAATGGTGTATCCTGATAATCCTGAACCCAATATTTGGTTGCACCTTAACACTTACCACACACTAAGGCTTAAAAATTCAGAATCAAGAGAAATCTCCTCCAAAAGTTTTTTGCATACTCGTCAACCACTACGACCTTCTCTAAGCAGTGAAACTGAAGCGTTCATTAAAATAAACTTAATTTAATTCTTGAAGGACATGTTTGTATTCAATATTTTGAAATCCTCATGTGTTATAATGCCAGTGGTTGAAAAATGGGACCAGCACCACTCTTCTACCATCTTTTGATACACGAGGAAACCATCTGAAATTGTTTAAAATTTTGTCAATTTTTCTCAAAATTACAGGAAAAATATATTTTTCAAAAAATTGTACCCAACATTATTTTCTGATCCATCTTCGAACAACAGAATTCATTCAGGAAAAAAGTCTATTTTCAATATTGTAGTTCTAGGAAGACACTGAAAATATTTTGAACTTTCACAATTAAAAAAAAAAAAAAAAAGAAAAGGATATTTCAAAGAAAATCCACTGCATCATTATAATACTTTCTTTTTACTATGTACATAGAAAGGCCAAAAAGTGAAAATTATATTTAATAACCCAAGATAATTTAAAATTCTACATTATTTCCAATTCCGAATGCTGTCTAAAAATACTATAATCAATGAAAAGTAGCAATTCAATAAATTTTTAATTCAGTATTACTCTTTGAGACATGGCATCCACACGTGTTAATGTTGCTTTCTTGTAAAATTATTATTTTCTCTTGTGTAGTAGAGAAGTCGTAGAGAAAAGCATCATCCACCCAGTCTGCATAACACTACCATTTTCTTTGCTTAATAGATATTCTATATGTGATCTGATATGAATGGATAACCTTTACACCTGAAAGTAATATTTTAATTTGAAGAGGTACTTTATACAATGCAAACACAAATTCTCAAGCTAAAAACCATTTTGAATGACCTCAAAGATATTATTTTGGTAAATTTAAAATGACATTAGTTTATTCTGGCTCTCCATCAAACAATTATTTTCAAGAAATACAAGCTAATTATGCCTCCAAAAAACAACACTTGCCATCTGGTGGCTGGGATCGCTGAGACAGTAGTGCCGTAGCGATCTCTGACCGAAAAACGCAGATTCGAGTCCCACTACGGGCATGGTTGTATTGTGCTGGTCCTTTCACACCATATCATGTCATCCTCACAGTTACCATACCGTTACAAGCAATAGTGGTTGCTATTCATCTAGAAGTTGATGTGACCTTAAAAAATTGGAGAAACTTATTTATGAAATTGGACTAATTTTTATTAAACCATTCTTTTGGATACAAGACACAGAAAACATGTTCATTCAAAAATTCATTTTTACACCAAGAACAATACCAAAATATACATTTTCATCTTACACCAGTTGGTACACAATCAGGGAGCTTTTCCATTTACCCCGCAAGCATCAACAAACTCATCACACAGCTCTTTGGTGTAGATAAGTTAATTACCATACTGTATATCAAGCAAAAACTTTTGTTTTATTTTACATAACTGTACTTTACTTACCACCTCTACACAAGTTATTTTTATCCTTTCAGCTTTTACCATTAGAACAAATTGACAAATAATCATTTCATACTTCACAATTATTAACCTAAAGTAAACAAGACAATGTTATAATTTAAAATATTTAACAATACGTTTCACAGTAATATTTTCATCCAACATACATTAAACTCCAATGCAATACATAATGCCATATCAAAAGGAATGCTTACACATCAGTCAAAAATTATTGCAATAATATTCAAAAAGCTTCTGGCACAAAAAAACCAACAACAAAAAACATGTCTTGCTAACAATTTTTTCTCTCGATATTTTAAATTCATTCAGTTAGCCTTGTATATTACATTCTGAAGATCATTTGCAAATCACTGAATTTCAATTTGATCTTGAAACCATACAAAACTACATCTTCAAATTCTCCAGAGGCTTAGTTAAGTTACTCGATGACAAAACAGAAACATTATTCTCAATAACAAACACTAAATCTCAACTTCATACAATTAATATTCTTTAGAGAAGCATTTCCAAATTCTCTCGTTGTTTGGTTTGTACTATTTTAAACCACATGACAGTGGTTAGGTTTCTTAATATAAGACTTACAGCCATTTGCAACAATTGACTAATAAGCTAACCGCAAACTAATGTACAAAGATTTAAATTAATGATAATGATACCATTAAAATAAACATTCTAAACACACACATTCGGTAACTGAAATCTTTCCTAGCACATAAAAAAAGAGAAGGGGGTAATTAAAAAATTCCAGGTCCTTTGCAGGTTGGTAAAACCATCAGTCTGCTGATTTTCTTCCTTAAATTTGTGTTTAAAGTGCTGAACACAGCCATACAGCACATATTACCATGTCATATCCTAAAACTCTTGCTACAAAATATTCTCTAAAAGAATTCAACAATTTTAAAAACTAGTTTGCGGCAGCAAGGAATAAAAACTATTTCTGTGTTTCCATTACTTCTTGAGAATTGCAAGATGCTTAATACAGGCTTGAATGTCTTCACTATCTGCAGCCATACTTTCCAACCTGTCACAGAAATTACAATACATTTTTATTACTCTTTAAACAATTTCCCATTGAAAGTATTTCTCTACAGATAACAACAATGTTTAGTTTTAAGATTTTCTGGTGACAATATATTGACGGTGTACACGCAGAGAGAGAGTCGTCGTGAAAGTAAAAATTAAAACTCCTACCATTATTGTACACCGAGGTGGCAAAACTCATGGGATAGCAATATGCAAATCCACAGATGGTAGTTGTATCGAGTACAAAAGGTTGAAAAGGACAGGGCCTTTCTCAGCATTTTCATTTGTACTGAAGTGATTCTAGTGAAAAGGCTTCCGATGTGATTATGGCCGCACAAAGGAAATTAACAGACCTTGAACATGTTAGTAGGAGTCAGACGCATGGGATATTCCATTTGGAAATCGTTAGCAAACTCTTGACACTGTGGATCAAAGAATATTGAACTTCCTGAGACTACCCAATTTCAAGCATAACAACTCACCATGGACAATAGAGTGGCCATCAGCCTTCACTTAATGACCAAGAGCAGTGACCTTTGTAAAGTGGTCAGTGGTAACAGACAAGCAACACTGCATGAAATAATAACAGAAATTAATGTGGGATGTACGATGAACATATCCACTATCACAGTGCGGCAAAATTTAAAAGCTTTTCACAAAAAGTTATTTTAATCCCAAACATTATAGATGCAATACATTCAAAAGTTGTGTCAATAAATTCATGAAAAAGTTCAATGTCTTTGAAAAAAGTTACATTTGAGTAATTTACACATTTTGTTATTTTAAAATACGGCATGTACTTTATCTACTGCTCTCCATAAAAGATCCAAAGAGTTTTTAAGAATAGAACACAAAGTAACATATTTGTAATAAAGATCAAAAGATGTTCGCAACGCACCCACCACAAAAAAATTTCCATAACAAGAGCATTTGCACTTGTATGATTTTGCAATACCCTCAATTTAGTTATTATGGGTTTAATAAATTAATCAGTTAAATTATTAATGTTTTGATCAAATTGATATTTAAAAAGTACAATTACAGTAATAAGTGAAGGATCATGCTAATTGACATGTTCCCAAATAAAAGGTTCTACAACATACTTTGTGTAGTTTGTGACTTTTATGGAAAATTCCTATTTCAGAATATTGAAGTAAATTTATTTGAACCAGGAAATTTGAGCATTTTTATCATGGCAACAAATCATCCAGATGTAAAAACCTAGCATGAATTTTTTATGTTAGTTAATAGACATAATGTGCCCTTGGAAGTAATACAATGTGTTTTGCAAGATATGGTTGAAATGTTAAGAGGAAGAACACAAGTTGTGATGAAATTACAATATGACATTGCCTTAATATACTCCATCACCCCCCCTGAGAATCATACCAAGAAGGGGGTTTTAAATTCTGCATTTGTAAATGTAGAATTATGAATACAAACAATAAAATTATGATATCAAAGACATAAACACAATTCATATATTTAAAAGTAAATTGAAAGCTTTCCTGCTTAACAACATGTTCTACAGTGTAAAGCAATTTTCAAATTACAACATTTCCCTTAAAAAATATAAATAAATAAGAATTTCTTATCCCATTAGACTTTCTGTTTCATGTAAACTGTTTCAAGCTGAAGCAAAGAAAAAAGCACTGCATCGCATCCTGTAAAACAGGAGAATAGAAGAAGAAAAAAACTGGTCAAAACTTGCTTCCTCACCATTTCAAGTTATAAATATAGAATGTACTATTATTAAATTTGATGTAGTTGCAAACATAATTGATTTGTATTATTAATGTAATTATTATTATTAATATAATTATTATTATTATTATTATTATTGTAAGTAATAGCATTAAAATAACATTGAAATGTTAATTATTAGCAGATAATTTATCTACTGTATAATATCTTAATCTAACTGTAACAAGTATTGCATTTCTAGGCCAATGACCCTATCTTGATCAGGTTTTGTTCAGTTTCCCTGGTCCTTTGAGCAAATGCTGAGATGGCCCCTTGTTTGTTCCTGAACAGTAATGTAACTGCGCTCTCTCCACCCAAGGCATCATATTGACTCGTCATACACGATTGTAATTGTATATGTGACTCAATAAATATTATTATTATTATTATTATTATTATTATTATTATTATTAATACAAGCAGAATCAGGAACCCCTTCTTGGAACAAGATGAACTCAACACATATTTGTCTTCAATATCAAAAAATGTTGGGAGAGGAGTAAGAGATGGTCCTTTACATCTCCTCCAGACCCATCACTGGCTAAGGAGTACAACTAATTGTGTGTGCACCAACTCCTCATAATTATTACTGTTTATACCACTTTTATATAAAACAAAATTAACAACAGTAGAACCTCGCTAATCCAAAATTTCAGATTCAGGAACAAAATTTGGGATGGAGGAAAAATAAACAACACAAATAAAATGCTTATTTGCAGTGTAAAGAAAGGATTCTATAATTACAGTAGAATTGAACATCTAATTATCGAAACAAGTTGTCAAAATGAAAATTTTATTGCACTTGTAACTTCAGTGTATATCATATGCTTATGTAGCAGTAATTTTCACTCTAAAGAACTTGCAAAATCTTATCTTCTTTTACTGCAAGGAACTAAATGATGTTGATGATGCAATTGCTACACTACGTTGCCAATTTCTCACATCTCTCTCTAAGTTGCATTGCTTCTACTAATCCTATAGATGTATTCGTACACATTTACAGATAATCCGAATAGACCACAATTCCAATTAGTTCAGATTACAGGGGTTCTCCTGTACCTAGAGAAGCCAGGAACCCAATGGTACCCATTGTCTGGTAGTCCCCACTGCATGTCTTTGTGTATCAACCCAATTCCATTTGCAACTATTCCAAAACAATAGGCCAAACAGTGCAAAAAAATGCTGCGTAGCAAGCACAATGGCAAACATCTGAGGATAGCTCTGAATATTGAGAAGAGAAATTTGTGAAGGAATTAAAATAAATATTTTGAAGAATTGTTAAAGAATCTTTTCCCTTTGAAGCTCACAATGGCAGTATAGAAGAACAATGAAATTAGGGAAATTGGGCACAGCACTTGCTCAAGTATAGTCTTTGTACAAGTGCAAGGCATCTTGAGGAAACACCATAAACTCTTAAATTACATGCCTCTCATTAGCCTTAAACATTTTCCACTACCAATTAAAAAGATAGATTTCTGTTAACCATATGTCATCTGCTATTCCTTGTAACTAATGTATTTCACCTACCCTAGCCACCTTGTGTCAGCTAATGAACACTGTATACAGCTGCAATCTTAAGTATGCTTCGATGTTTCTGCTGTTTACTATCCCCCTTCCCAATTTTGTTAAGATTATCCGAAATTATGGATTTGGGGGGGATTTGACTGCATCCACATCGTATGAACACTGTACTAGGAATCCCTTAGCTCCCACATGCCATGGAGGAAGGACTGCACACGCCTGATACTTGCAATTCAATACACTTTTACTTCAACACTGTACTGCAACGTTGCACTAGGGTAATCCAGTAACATAGAAAATTGCACTTACTTTGTCTCAATGTGCTCCAGCTGCCTCAGCGACCATGGCCCTCCACGTTTCAAGGCACTCAAGCACGAGGCAGTCAGGGACTTGAAGCAGGCACGACGGCAATTGTTGTGTGGAGGATTGTCCCACAGGGGTGTGGCACGCACGTATGTCCACGCAGTCAGGACATACTCCAGCACAGCTCCCCAGTTCTGAGAGCTGGTCAGCTGGCGTAACTGATCTAATAGGCACTTCTGCAAAGACATTTTTTTTAAAAAATTGTGTAAATTTAAGAAATTTTAACCTGCAGAAGAACTCTACTTCTAATAGCAAATCCTCCTTTCAAAATGTTCAATATTTTTGAAAACCTCTGCAATGATTAGTACTTGTCTCAATGTGCACACATGTAACAGATAATTGTAAAGTAACAAAGTGAAAAATCACTACTTTTCAGGGGTCTCAATTAATCGATTCAAACATATCAATAGATCAGTTCTCACCATCATGTGCAAAGGTCTACAGCTTGTATTTATAGCTTCCTAAAATGACAACACATCGCTAAGTCAATGTCTGTATCTCCTTGGATTGCCAAATTATGATAATGAGAAACTGGCTACCTCACATTTGGTATTTTACAGCTGACAAAATAGTATGTTTAAACATCTGAACAAGAATAGCTTTTACATCTAGATTAGAGGGGTAAATCAAGGAAACATTTGCTATAAAAGTTCCAGTTATCAATTGCTATTAATTCAATTGAAGATCTATTTAGCATTTTTAACCATTACCTTGTTTACATTCAAATAGGTCACTACAATTATTTAACACTATTGGGGATGGGGGTGAACACATGAACTTCATATCATATAGGAATAAACATATTATTTTATAAACTAAGTTACTGTAACTCACTTTGAAGACTGACAAATGAGTAGCAACTCTGTTGAAAGCCGGCGAGTCAGTCTTGGAGGTGAGGCGAGAGTTGGGAAGTGATTTGTAGATATTCTTTCTAAGCTCGCTGAGGCGATCTTCCAGAGGCCGAATGTCAGGTACTGGCAGCAATTCCTTCACGTCCTATCACATTTCAACAGAAGAATAAGAGACAATACTGTGTAGGAACTAGGGATGAAACATCGATGTCTAAGTTTTTTAACATTAATGTTTTTATAAAATCATTGATGAAATAATGAAGAACTCTATAATGATTTTTAGATATCCATAAACAGAATATATTTCAGGCAAAAGTCACTTAGGGTAAAAAACAAAATCAAGTTTTCACCAATAAATTATTTTTGAATTATGGCTTTATTATTTTTGAATTATTGAATCAGAAACTTAACGTTTTGATAATTGTCTTCACGATTTTTTTGACCTGTCTCAGGTCAATCTCAATAAAAATTAAGAAATGATACCACTTTCAAGTTATTCCCTCCTCAGCACGAATTTCAATAGTTACCAATCTTGTTTTAAAAACATTGATATTTACTAACATTGATGGTTAGGAACATAAAGTTTTCTTTGCGATGTCGCATCCATAGTAGGAACAATGTATTTTAAATTAACTCAGCTTATATTTAACAACCAATATTAGTATAACTAATGAGCAGTTCTTTTAACATTACGAAATGGAAAAAGGAAGTGGAGAAAAGCAGAAGAGAAGGGAAAGAATAAGAGAAATGAATGAAAGCCGAAGACAAGAAACAAATCAATGCAAGAGGATTGGAGGGATGAGGGGAGTAAGTGAGGAGGGGGTGAGGAGATGACAGAAGCAGGGAGAACAAGGCAAACTGAAATAAGGTGAGTTAAAGTGGGACACAAAAGAGAGAGGGCAAGTAGAAAATTCTATCATCTTCTAGAGAAAACGGGAAAAGAAAAAACAAACAAAAATCAGAGACCCCCCAAATACATATCGCACAGAAATTTTTCAGAATTAGTTGAATAAAAGAATAGTCAAAAGGTGACTTTTGATGTTCCATAATAGTGTCAGCCTCAGTTTTAAGCACCTAATTTCACATTCTGTTAGATGAAACCTAAAAATTTCCAAATTACCAATTACTTCCAACTCCATAATCTTGAAATTGCAAATGCCATTTATGCAATTCTAACATGGTTTACTGGTAAAGCGAAAAGTTAACTTATTCCACCAAATAATTGTTGAAACTGTAGTGAAACCTTTTGGAGCCATCTGATGACGGAATTCGTGAATAACTTTTGGATTGGATTCAAGCACACTGTAGGAGTGCTGTGAATTGTGAGGGATAAACTTCTTGTTTCACTAAGAGATTATAACCATCTCTTGATACGTGAAACAAAACACAATCCCCCTGTGATATAAAGAAGGACATTGACACGCTTGAAGCAATCTGAGAATACATGTCATCACAGTCAGATATTTAAACATCGGTTATCTCTACCACTTTTCTACTTATTACAATGCAGTTCAAAATCACTTTAGGTGACTGCACAATAAAAGCCAATCTAGAAATTGTACTTGTCCCCTGAAAGAGGGAATATTTACATGCCACAAGGAAAAATAACTGTTCCATGGAAAAAAGGGCTGCTTATGGGGGTGACAACTGAATTATGATGGTTTTTAGAGCAGATTTCACTGTGGTAATAAATTGTCATACCTTTTGACAACCTTGTGTAGGTTATTTCTTTTTCTGTGATCATAATATTGCAGAATTTGTACATCACACAGTGCACATATTCTTTCTGCAACTTTCCCTACGCGTGTGTGTGTGTGTGTAACTCTTAACCTTTCTTACTGCCTTAGTCCTTCCCTCTCCAAGCTCCCAGCCCTGTTTGCTGGTCCTGACTCTTTCTGAATATTGTATTTTCCAGACTAGTTTCTAACAGTGATGTCTTTTTCCCTCACCTTTTCTAACTCAGCCCATTAACATCCAGCATCCTTATTTGAGGATGCACATTTCTGGTCAACTCAAATTGCGTCTTTAGCAATAGTTTGTGAAATTCATTTCTTCAATAGACAATCATCCTAAATGAAATATATAAGCAAGACTTTATATCTCTGAGGGTGTATTGATGGATGGTGGGCCAGGGTGTATTGATGACTTGCATCGGTTTGAATCTCCATCTAAAACAGTCAAGCTGCTATATGCCTGTGGTTAAGTCAGAGGAAGAGTGTGGTGTAAAGCAAATTGTGGCTGGTGCACACCGAAGTTGATGGGGCATATGCAGCTACGTTCAAACGGTTATGCTTCTTTAGAGAAAAACAAAAAAGCTAATATAACCAACAGTTTACACTGTGGAGCATTCTAGTAACAATTATTTAGCAACACAACAATTGGTTAGCACTAAAAGTTGCAAAAACATGCTGCCAGAGGGCCCAACAATGACTGTGTGCACACCTACGCAACGAGCGAACGCTGTGATCACAAAATTAATGTGGGTTAATTGCCAAAGATTATAATAATAATATTATTATTATTATAATAAAAACACACTAGAATTGCTATGATGATGCCAGTGCTGTTACAAATACAGCTGTTGCCGTGCAGTGCACTTACCTGCTCGAGGAACTGATGCTTGACCATGAGTTGCTGCACGATGTCCACCAGCTGTTGCGGTGACAGAGCCAACAGGGCCAGATCTAATGGCCCCTCCAAAGGCGTGGCCAGCCGCTCCACGCGTGCTGCCTTCTTGCTGTTTGGGGACACCTTGCTCGGCGACAGCTGCTCACATAATAAATAACACTTGTTACCAGGGCTATGATTTCACATCCAATTACACATAGCTACATATCAGAATGTGGTTCAAGGAGTTGGATAATATGAAAATGTGTTGTATACCTGAAAGTATGGGCAAATGTGGATAATCAAATATATATGCAATCACTTCAGAAAAGCCTTATTTTTAAGCAGGTGACAAAAGTTAGTCGTAAGAAACCAATAAACTTTTAGTTAGGCACATTATAATTAACTATGTAAGACAGAGAGGGTTGGAAATGATTGTTATTTGGACTGATGGAAGGCTTTTGACTGCGTAACTTAATACGGAGAGTATCTCTCCAGTTAGTATTAGGTATCAAGGACATTGTCGTCAATTGGACATCCGATCACATACATTCAGCCACGTGGAGTATGTGACTGGTGAAGGCACTCCCCTAGAGTGTGTCTGGTCTGTAATAAACACGAAATTACAAACAAGGTCATTTGTGTCTCATTTTTTATTCCCCATAACGATGTTATGTCTGGGGAAGAACATCAGGTAGTTTTTGCATGGCGAAGCATTACAGCACTATCGATCTTCTGTGCAAGCTCAGATCGTGTTTGGGATCACTTTAGTGTGTCTGCGCCGTGTTGATTGTTGTACGCTGTGCAGTACAACTATGCTTTTTTCTGGAATTTGCTTCATGCGACCGGGTCAACAATGACGGGGCGATGTATAGGCAACCCGCGAGACACCGATGTGTATCGCGTGAGTTAGTTGCCTTGCATGCCTCCGATACTCCTGGCTATGGAGTACGTGCCAGCCACGTTCAAGTGTTATTGTTGTATCATGTTATTGCAATTGAGAATGATTACTGATAATGTATTTCGAAACAAACTTACTGTGTTACTATGTATCGGACAGCATTCTTGTAATTGGTTATACGTTAATGTGAATCAATACAAAGAATTACGTTTGCCTTGCGCAAGCAGTCCCCCGCGCGGGAAAAAAAGCCCTGTGCAACACAGACATTTTTATTTAGTTTGTTTTCTTTTAATATATTTTTTAAAAATATTTTTCTACGTTACAAGAGGTTAAATCAAAATCACAGACTTTCTCTTACTAGTTAGTTTTCTGATTTCTTTGGTCTGTGCTAGCTTTTCAGACTTGCCAGCTGCCATCTATCGCCGCCCAAATCACTTTTTTTGTTGAAATTTTCTCAATTTCTTGGTTTCCTAATAGTAGAACCGAAATATAATTTAAGAATAATATAGAAGAGTAAAACTTTGCCCTATAAGGAAATTGTGTGAGCTGAAAACTTTGGAGCAGTGTTTACGAAAATGGCGTCGATGCGTTAATGTAAATGAGAAATTTGAAGCTATTTTTCACATAAATCTTTTGAGTTTTTGAAAAACTTCATTGAAAGTCGCTTGAAGCATTTGCACATGCATATGAAATAATGTACGACAATCGCTGGAAATGTGCATGTTAAAAGGCGTGAGAGACGTATGTAAACAATATGAATCACTGCCAGCTGCTTACTGTATTTCCATCTTACCTTCCTTCAGTTCTTTGAAAACTACGATGGGGGAAAAGTGACTCATCATTGAATGAAAAATAGGAAGTTTCTTAAACTCGCATGACACGAAATTAAAAGCATTATATTGAACCGAAACATAATTATTTTGCGAAAACATCGTTTTACAAAACTAAAAACTATCGAATACTCGGCACCAATTAATCGATATGATTTTTTTAAAAAAATAGTTTAATAAAAATAATATATTATTTCAAACAATGTTGTTGATGAACGAAATTGCCTCACCATACCGTGTATCATCGGACTCCGCACAATTCCTAACCTGACAACATAAAAGAATAAACGGTATTTCGAAAAGCGACTAACTTTCGGGAGTTATCTTTCCTCCATCTGCTGAAGGCTGTAAATTAAACCAAGCGACACAACCAGTTTCTGGAGAACATGAGACTATTTTGTTGGCATTTTACCTTTACATTAAAAAATGTCCAATCATACAAAAAAAGAACATGAGAATAATCATTATCCTACGTATAGCAGCAGCAAAATGGCAAAAGTACCTCACAATGCAAACTCATCCCAGAATTTCTAAAGACACTGAGATTACACTGTAATATGTGTGCAATAATTGCAGTAATGGAATGATATTGGAATACTTTTTGGTTCTAAACGATTTCGTTAGAAGTTTCCACAGGTGAGTGAGTTTTAAAGAACTTCACTCCAAAGGTTATGCCTTTCGTAAGATCGAGATTTGTCGGGAACGGCAGATTCGGAGAAACCGCTTACAAGTTCCACTCGGGGTCGAGATGGCGCAATGTTTCCGGGTAGCTTCATCCAGACTCCCTCCATACCGTTTCGATAACGGCCAGACCAGACTGGAGACGGAATGGTAGTCGCCCTTTACTTTTTATTAACCAGATGTCTGGCGTTTTGTAAAATCAGTCGTACAGGGTGGATAGTGTTACACAGTTAACATTTTGTTAACTACAGAAACACGGTAGCAACGATTTCAAGAGGGAAACTCAAGCCTATTTTAGTGGTTGGATTAATAGACAAATCAATACATGCGTTTGCTAAAGATACTATATTATATAGATACATTATATTATATTATATTATATTATATTATATTATAAACAAACTATACTTTTGCGTTCTCAAAACTTTTACGACAATGCCTTCTGCACGTGACTAAAAGTTACATGTACTATCTCAAATTACGAAATTTCTCTGGGCGTGTAATTGACTGCATTATGTGATTGGATATAAGACATTTGTTTTTACAAGTTTTTGAAAGATATTTTAGATCTGCATTTTAAATAATTATAAGTATATGGACTAAATTTTCAGTTAAGTGTTAATTACATGGCTTCTCAAAATCCTCCTCTGAGTTTTTCACATGCTCCCTTCAAACACAACAGAGTCCTCAGTTTAAGAACCCCTAAGCTAAGAAAAAAATATTTAAGGTAAGTATTTGATGAAGATAATGAAGTGAAAAAAGATACAAATTTATTTGCAAATCAAGGATATTTACTATGAAAATTGATGTTCATGATTGTTTTGGTGGGAGAACTATAAACCTAAACTACATTCAATGATTTTGTAATGGCGGACTTTTACCTGAATTTCTATACATTCCATAAACGGACATTGAATGTAATGTATTTGTAGATCAATGTAATTTGTGATATACATGACAATTAAAACACGCAGCAATAAAAGCAGTGGAATTTTGTCTCTCCCCCCCCCTTCCATCCTCACTCAACCAAGTACTGTGGACAGTAACTCTGAACCTACGAAACATCTACATTATATATAGAATTAGTACAATGAATTTAGGTGGGCATTTAAAAATCGCCGTCCCCCAACTTGTCTCAATCTACTTGACATTTGTCTTGCATGTCACGTTTAGCTCTCACTATCATGACGCCAAATAATATTAGCTGGTACATCAAGAGGGAAAAGAAAAGGAGGAAAATAAGAAAAAAATTAAGAGGAGGAGGAGGAGATGAAAGAAGAAGAAGAAGAAGAAGAAGAAGAAGAGGAGGAGGAGGAGGAGATGAAAGAAGAAGAAGAAGAAGAAGAGGAGGAGGAGATGAAAGAAGAAGAAGAAGAAGAAGAAGAAGAAGAAGAGGAGGAGGAGATGAAAGAAGAGGAGGAGGAGGAGGAGATGAAAGAAGAGGAGGAGGAGGAGGAGATGAAAGAGGAGGAGGAGATGAAAGAGAGAAGAAGAGGAGGAGATGAAAGGATGAGGTAACAGGAAGAAAAAGAGAACTGTTGAGTTAACACATTAGCATGCATGCATGTAACAAATTCTGTACATAATTATTTCTCACTTGTGAAGGCCTGAAGAGAGCAGGGCACCAACAGATAATTCAGCCACCCATTGCTATATTAAACTTGACTGCCCTGGAAGAAGGAGGCAATCAAAGCATGTATTGACTTCGTTTGAATTCCTTGTGGACAAGGATCCTTCATTATACTATGATTTGTTTACACTCTCTTTAGGGTATTCATCAACTGTTACAGTGCGAAAGGACACCCTAAATGAATTTAAGTATAGTTGTTGCCTGGAGGCAACTGTAAGCTAGTGTTTTGCAAATGGCCTGAGGAGCATTCACTCAAATACTGGAAAACTATACTAAATGTTTCGTAATCATCTCCTATTAGGGCCTACTGTTAAAAAAAGGGTGTCAATTAAAAAGCTCTGCGCTATTAATTTTAAGTAATTTCAAACGATATACTTGAAAACTTCATTCTTAAGGCTTGACACTAACTCGCAATGTCTATCTCACCCCCAGAAAAAAGCATTGTCATTAAGATGAACAAACTAGATGTTACCTGTCCAAACTTCTAATATGACTGAACATAACTTCACATTTTCTCTTAAAAGTTACCGTTCTATATTTGATATTGAACCACTCGATACAATTTTAATTTTTTTGCGTCCTCGTTTATACCACAGGTCACAAAATCCTCATGGTAGTGAAATGCAGGTATTGCATTTTGGAGAGCAACTGGAAATGAAGTCCACTCACCCGTCGCACTTTCTCTGGAGTGGTGAACGGGTCCTTGACGGATGCATCCAGCAGGAGCCTTTTTCGAGGAGTACTGCGCAGAACGATTCCAGAGCCATTGGAGTTGTTCTTTGCCGGACTGCTCTTAACAGGGGTGTGCTGGTGGTGCTGCTGCTTGGCGGCATCCAAATCGGGACTCCAGGTCACCGGCATGCGACGGCGCCCCCTCTGCTGGATCACCATCTCGTCAGGCGACGGCGACGGGCTCATGTACGATGATGGCACATTTACATTCACGTTCAGAGGCCAAACTGCCTGCGGAGTGGCTATGAAAGAACAAAACTTGCCTTTATATATTCAAAGAGTCTACAGGACAGGGCTAGAACAGTAAAATGCACCCTGGCAATAATCACACATACTTTATTACAAGGTGTATCAGAGACTCTACAGCTTTTATTATTGTAAACACAAAAATTTCAAATTACTGAAGACTCTTCTCATACAAATAACGTTACTGAATCATCTGCATTAACCACAGCATCTACGACATCTCAAATCATGCTGTATTCTGGAAGGTGAGGTTGATCTCAATATTTTAACATCAATTAATGATAAAATCTGTATCTTAGTAACAAGGTTTCCATTTTCACTGCTAACAAAATATGGAATTTTAACAAGTAAATAATTATCAGTAAAATAGCAAAATTTAAAACGACTCAAGAAAGAGCTACCTTTTCCAATACTGTTTAAATAGCTTATTTCATTCAATTAAACAAACAACTGTAGAAAACATTTAAAATCATTTAATCTGGAAGGTAAACATTGAATAGGTACATATGTCATTAAGTTAATTGGTTTCTTGCCATTATAGGGGCATTTATCTCCTATAGGTCCTTAATTATTGTCTTGTAGGAAAGCAAAGGAATACAGAAAATAACGATGATGATGATAATAATAATACTAATAATAATAATAATAATAATAATATGTAGTTTCAAGAAGTTGAAAAGGCTTCGTGGAGCTCAGAATTACGTCAGCAGATATTACAGTGTTCTTTAATGAGCACAAAACTTAAGATATTCCCAGGATTTGAGAACAAGAAAAACAAGCAGACAGAGGCTGTTTGTACCGAGAGGAAAGAGAAACATCAGGCCACAATGAAAGAGAGATGGGAGCAAAGAAAGGAAGAAAGAGGAAGAAAAATGAATATATGTGGTCCCTAGTGGATCATACGGATAGAAATAATAATAATAATAATAATAATAATAATAATAATAATAATAATAATAATAATAATATTCTGATGACCAATCGTAAATGAAGCTTTTAGAGCTTCATTTATGAATGAATGCATTTTACCTATATTCACATGTTTTTCAAATTATATATAACATAACAATATATTTCATTTGAACAGTTAATTTTATAACTATTATATCAAACAAAATATATAGAAAAAATACTATACTATGTGGTGTTCACTATGTGCACTTTCTTGCACCAAATCCACAAATTCATATTCACAAACCATCTGTACAAAAGTGAAGATTTTGGCCCACCTAGTAGAACATATCCAATGTGTAAACATTTTTTAATTGCTTTTATTCCCTTACTTCCTAATCGCTGGTTACAGTTTTCAAGCATTTTCTATCCAAACAAACATTATATTACAAATTATGGAGTGTCTTGAGGTGCTACAAGATTATGTGACTCGCGAAAACAGCCAACAAAAGACAGAAAAAAATTAAATAATAAATGCGATTAAAGTTATGAGATTTTCTCAAATAATTATTTTGGAAGCAGTCCATACATGCGTGGCACTTAGAAAATGGTCATTCTCCCTTCCCCCTCCCCAATCACAAAATAAATCCTACTCCCAAAGATATCTCGAAAAATTGTAAAATTTGGAAACTCACCGAGTTGTGTCTGCGCCAACGGCGGGACCTCTCCGATCTCCTGAACGGTGAGCATATTCAGGCGTAGAGGGATCTCCGCCAAGGCACTCCTGGTCGCCCTGCGGGCCGCCTGCATCGGCTGGTCTGGGTTCGCTTCTCTCGGCGGCGTTTCCATGGCCCCCTGAGGGTCAATTTCCAGGAATGCAATGAGCGGGCTGTTTTCGGCCATTCGGCGTGGCACAAACCCCCAGCCGTGAGCGCTCGCCTCCGTCCTCGCTCCCTATCTCTACTGAGTCATACTCGACCGCTCTAAGGAAAAGGCAAAGGGGTGTCGGATTAGCCGCATTCCACGGCCAGCCTAGCCCTTCGGTTATTAGTCAGCAAAGCAACGGTGCAAACGCGCGGGAACAAACTTTCAGGGGGGGTAGGGGGCGCCAGAGCGGCGACTACGCAATGCACCCTGTTCCCGCGCAAAACGGATACGCCGTAGCTTTCCCGCCTCGGCGGCAGGGGAAAACTCACCTCGAGAGCCCTCGCGGCACGCAACATGCCGGCTGCAAGTCCGTCAGTTCGATGCCCGTCACTGGCTCTTGATCTCCGTGCCTCAGAACACGTTATTCCTACAGTTCGGTGAAGCAGCTGATCAGAGACGCTACAGCTGTTTCTCTCCACCCGTTCCGCTGGCAGAGAAGAAATTTCGCGGGGATTTTGTATTGGACGCCCGCCATTGGATGGAATGAATACACGTTACCCAATGAACGATGATGTACCTAGAAACGAGAATATTCACGTAACTATGTTGATTAACGTGTAATAAACTATTTATTATTACACGCGAATAAAATAAAGTTAAGTGAGGCGGAGTTGAAGTGATTTGGTTTGAATGTTTCACCTTACGCCGGGAATGTGTGGTAGTTTTCATTTCCTGAGTGATCGAACAAAACCGATTTCAAATTTGGGGGAAAAATGAGATCTAATTTCTCATATGCCCTCCACCGTCGGGTATGTTCGTGCTCCCGAACGTTACCGAAGTGGTCTTCGGTGGTCATTTGATCGTCTCCTGTCGCCGCCTGTGGCTGTAGAGTGGACGTGCGACATAATAGTTTCGATTATGTGATGAAAGTGAATAAACTCTGTGTTCGTATGAAAACACAGAGCACAACGGTTACTGTTGACGTCGATTTAGAGACGACAGGAACGTGTACAATTTTTCCGTAAGTTGTCATAAGATTACTCAGCTTACAGTATAATCTCGGCCTTTAAACACTTGCACTTGGACGATGTGACCATGTTGCTAGCCACGAAAGCAATCCTTTCAAATTACTCGAACAGATTTCTTGTATTGTGAAAGCTTTCATTTGGAGGGTTTGCTATTAAGATGTTATAAACGGTTAAGTACATACATTCCTACGTTGTCTACCAGGGTGATAAAGTAGGTTGTTTTAAATGACCATTATGAACGCTTGTAGGTCGTGCAAGCCGCGTGACAGGTGGTGGAAGTTGAAGGATTGTGATGCCAGTTCGGAGACAAAACGTACTATGTTATTTGTTGAAAGTAGAGAAGGTTATGGTGACTAACGTGCGTTTTTGACGTTATATTGTTTTTTTATTACGTAGTATCGTTTAATCGGTAAAATTAGTTTTCAAACGAGATTAGACTTGATCCCCCCACCTTCATTCCAAATGCTAGTATTAACAAGAGTTGTACTGAAAATTGTCTGGCGAAGGGACGTTATATCCTGTTAGTTTAGATATTTGTTTGGACATGTTTTATAATTTCGTTGTATCCTTGTCGGTGTACGGTTATAGGTAGTAGTTCATCCAGTAAAAGCTTACAGGTGAGTGAATGTTTTTTATGGTTTCGTCACTGTGCTCATTGTCAGGAGGTCATTGGCCTTCTATTGTAGAAAGCATTGAGTTTGCAATTTCGTTATTTTTTAATTTGTATGTGATCTGAAATGTCAATTAGTTATTCCGTGTCACATTTATTTCGAATCGTGTCCCATTTCGTATGTAACCAGAGTAAACTACTAATGGCGTTTTTACCGCAACAAACAAAGCCGTGGTGTCAAAGCTCCCTAACTTACCCACAGAAAAATACTAAAAATTTGTAGGCGAAGGAACTTCAGCATTATATTTGAAACTACAGAGAATATATTATGTAATAATAGCATTATATATTATGAATTAGTAGCTTGGTACAAAAATTAACGCATAATTTAATGTATTTGTATTCAACAATGTAGTGTCAACCTGAAAAATTGGAGTTCAGCATCACTAAGCCACATTAATACATTGGTGGTGTGGAAAGTTCTTGTTGAAAGAAAAAATAAATGTAAATTCTATGTATTGAAAAAAATATTGTGGAAGTTTGTATAATGGCCGAGATGGAAAGTAGTAACTATTAACATGCATCAGACATTGAATTTCTGTGATATTTAGCAGTGTTATTGACAAGATGGAAAAGTTCTCTTGAAAGGTGTTCATAACCAGAAGGAGGAACGGTAATACGTTAATAGAGGGAATAATATGCAGTATATAATATTGATATACTTCAATGATTAAAATAGTTTAGTAATGGCATGTTTATTTGTAAATACATTTGTTCTGTTAGTGTGATTGCAATTGATGGTGGTGATGGCAAGGAAATAAAGCCAAATATCAGGCTATATTGGATGATTTAAAAGAAAGAAATTACTGTTACCAAACTCAAGTAATAAGTTTAGAGAAACGAGTCCATGTTGCTGCATAATATTAGTGATGGCGCAAAGGGATTTTATTTATTTATGACGGTTTTTTGGTTTGGTTGTGCATGAGCATTTAGGCACATTTATTGTCAAAGTACATTAATTTATTTTTAAAAAATAATAGTATTGTGAAGTGTTATTAGTGAATTTTTGCTGGTATCACATGAAAATTTTAAATGTTTCCTCTCTTAATATTGTCATTTTTTAGATTTCTAATTTCCCTATATTTAATTTTCAGGCTTAGCTTTCTGGACACTATTCTGCTTGATTCTTCACTACCTAGCATCAGCGTTGTGGCCATACATATTCGTGTGCTCTACTTTGAATTTTCTAATGGGAAGTTTGTAAAAATGAAATTTTATGGACTCGTGAAAAAAGGGTGTTAAGGTGTTAAGTTGCGAGTGGAAATCATGTTGTATTGCTTTGTAGATAGTTGGTATTAAGCAGCCCTGATGAGGGAACGGTGGAGTTCCAAAATGTTGGCATACTAAAAGAAGTTCTTCATTGACCAATATCCCATTATAAAATTCAAGGAATTTTTTACTTATTGGAAAGTTGTGCATTTGTCGTAGCAGGGGGAAGCACTACATTTGGAAGGAGCTGACTTCTAGTCCCAGTGGCAGTGTGGTGAGTGCCCTTGTGAATTTGAATTTTGTGCTGTTGTTGCAGTGGAAGGAGGCACCACATTAGAGGAGGAGCTGGCTTCTGATCCCAGTGATTGTAGGGTGAGCGCCCTCTTATGGAGCTGTGTGGGGTGAGTGCTGCTGAGAGGCACAATGGAAGCACTGGCGCATGACCTGGCGAGTGCCCTGGAGGAGACTTCTGGCCAGTGTGCAGGCAGTGGGTGCAGCGAGAACAGCAACGTTGGAGGAAGCGCTGGAGGTGGAGTGAGAAGGCGGTGGGGCTTTCGCCGGAGGGCTCAGTCAGCTGGAAATTTGCGTAAGCCTACATCCCACTTCCATATTATATTTATTTATGTGATAATAATTACAAGCAATCTGTCATATCATGAGTTTTGAATTGCAATTTGTTTTATTTACATATAGCACTACAAAAACAAAGGAATAATACAGAAACTGATAATAAACAAATCAACTTAACAAATTTACTGATGATGATGGAAGACACTGCACCATGAGTGTGAATCTTCTATTCATTGATTGATTTTTCTCTTTTGTATTGTCACTCTTGTTCTTACAGACATTTTTGGGAAATCTTATTTCTGCTTGCAATTAAATAGCTTCTTTACCTGGCTTCCAGCTATCATTTATTGAATGTCAGCTCTCTCTTTTTAGGTTTGTGGCTATAATTAATAAGAATTCACAAATAATGTAACACACATTAATATTATTTGTTTGGTCTAATAACAGATTTCAATTTTTGCTTTAAATTGACAAGAATAGTAACAAATGTGATAGATGATGATTGTTATTGTTTCAAGTAGTAATTGTAGTGTAGTTGGTGAAGAAGTGCCATACTATGATCTGCATGTTGGAATCATAAAGAGTTTGATGGGATGAAGAGAATATTCTGAAGTGTACATGGTAACTAATGAGTTGAATGTATTCACTATGTATTCTGAGTGTGAAAATAGGATATGAAAATGTATGAAGTTCTGCCTTTATACCATCTAGAAAAATGCTAGAAACGATTACCCAGTTTTACAAAAGACATTAGGATCATAAGGATGATTACAATTTTTTTTAATGAACTTTTGTTAAAGATATTATTTATGGGCATACTGATTTAACCTATTTCTTTTATTTGTAAATTTTAATTTAATTTTATTTTGTTTAATTTTTCTAAATACAGTTCAACAGGTTTTATTTTGTACTTTGTTAAATCCCTGTCTTCGTCAAGTGAAAAATAAATAAATAAATAAATAAATAAATAAGTAAAATTTTGTTCCATTCACAACATTAGGTGTCCGAAACATAAAGTAATTCATTGGCTTTATTTTTGTTGTACCAGTTTCTGTATTGTGCCTTTATTTTGTATTGCTGAAGATGTTGGCAATACGGTTGAAAAATATAAAATTAATCTAAATAAAAACTCTGTACAATGTGACTGTGTTATTTTTCAGAAAATATTACTTTAACCTACTTTCTCAATCAAAGAATTTATGGAACATAAAGACAAGATAATAATTTAGTAATATAATTAGTAACTTAGTAAACAGGAACCAATCTGTAGTTTTGTAATAATGTAATGTAATATGTACTGTTAATGTGCTACTGCAAAAATCTTATAACTGGGTTATTACTATAGACTTTGCTGAACTTAATTTTACATACATTCTAACTGTATACTCCTGTAACCTGAAATGTAATTTAGTAAAATACTCTTATATAATATGTTTTGTAATGTAATCTTATGACCGCTGTTGCTGCTGGCACAACTTAATGACAAAAATATTATTATAATTATTATTATTGTTATTTATATTATTACTATAACATATAATAATAAATTTGTGTGTTTTTTTTATTACTTTCGTTTACTCTAGCTTTAGCCTGCAGCAACATGCAGCCTTCGGGAGGTGGGTGTTGCAGCAAAGGCAGTGCTGCAGGTGCTTCAGGAGCAGAGGACTCCAGCAGCAGCACGGGCGGCACGCGAGAACGTCCAGTGGCATCTGCCTTGCGCCATTGCGTCAGCGATTCTGATGAAGATGAGGATGAAGAGCATGGAATGATGGTAAGCAGAGGAGAAAGGAAAACATACTACACACACAATTTTGTGTTCATTAAAATATTATGGGCACTATTTACAGAAGATTGTTGTAAAATGTTGAACCCTTGGACTGCTGTGAGCATGCCTGTCTGTTTGATGGGATCTGTGTTATGTACATATTTGCACATCCGGGACCTGTAGTGCTTCCAGTGCTATGGACATGCTATTCCATGGCTATGGACATACATTCTCACTGGTGTTTGCTTTCTTTCGTTTCAAGATCGCATATAGGCTTCTGTGACGGATGACATGTGGGATTGTCATAAAGTTCTATCTTTATATAAAATATAAAAGTATGAATAAAAAGTTCTTATTTATTTTCTATATTTAGTTATTATTCTATTCTTCTTTTAATTGGGCATAATAAGAGCTAGTCATTTTTCTTCAATCTGGGCAGTTCTTGTTTTTGGTGGCTCCGCATGATATGTCCTGGGGCTTCAGCTCCCCTCCCCTTCACAGAAGTGAATGATACCTTTTAAAAAATACCCCTTTTACTCATTTTCTGTGCCAATGAGTCATTAAACTCTTCAATTATTAACATTATAAATATAAACTGTAAGTCGACAAATAAAAACACATTTTATGTACAGCATACAAGGCAAACTAGGTGGTGGGTTGTTTTTTTTTTTCTTGAAATCTCTTAAACATTTTGATTGTAAATTGCAATTTTGGACTTGGACTTTTGCTGGAAAATTTTTTAGTCCAACTGTCAATATATGTTTCTGAATGAAATACTGTGAAAATTTTCTTGGAAACTCTCGACATTATTTGTGCCTTGCAGGTTTCATCCAGTTGTGGCCCAGATATTGTTGCAAGAAAAAGCGATGGCGCTGCCTCTCTCCGTTCCTCATCAGCTTTGACTGGTTCTGGTCTGGGCGGTTGCCTTTCTGTGTTGGCAGCCCTGGGACCTGCATCGAGCCTCTTGCCCGAATCGGATTCTCTCAACGAGAACTTCTCTCCGACAGCTGTCACCCCACATGCTTGCGTGCGCCGCAAGAGAAAGTTCAAACGAATGGCTGTGGACTCCACTGCCCTCGCTCCCATGCCCAGTGGAGCCCCCTTGCCAGTGCCTCGACCTCCGCCCATCCACAAAAGGAAGTCGAGGATGACGGCTACAATCAGGAGGTCCAACTGTGAGAACAGGCAAGTCTTAATCTATTGAGAAATCAGAGAGCAATTAAGTTTAATTGTTTTATTTTAATTTATTTATTAATTTTTACAAAATGTATTTTAAATACAGACCTTCAGTTTACAAATGACTACTGTAGTAGTACATTATCATTTTTGAACTGTTAAATGTGATGCTTTCATTATAAAGACGTAAGAAGCTCTTTCTCGCTATCTTATCAATTTTGTTTGACGACAGTCTGGAAGGTATTCACTAATTTGCTTATTCAATATTTATTTTATTAATCTAATTTAAGCTAATTTTCCAATTAATGACTGATACACATTTTAATAAAAACATGCATGCTAAAAGAGAATGAAAAGAAGAAGCAAGAGAAATCAATTATGAAAACAAATTGCTTTACAGAAACGTAAATGAAGAAAACCAAATAGTTTAAATATATTATTTAGTAACAACAGACAAACCCTAAAGTGTTTATGATTATCACATGAAAGTAACAATGAAAATGCACATGTTTTCATCAAAACATGGTTAATTAAACAGATGTAATGCAAAAATGAGATTAATTGCATTGAAAGTAGAATTAGAAGGCACATTCGTTGCAGCTTCATTAGGTGAAATACTCAAAAAGATACAAAAACAACAAATGAACAATTGGAAAATAATTAAAAGAGATGTTTGAGATGATCAGTAAATTAACTTCTGGGAAATTATATAGGGGAAATTGAAGGCAAGATAAGTTACATAATTTTTTTCACAGGCTGAATGCTACTCTACATGAAAATACGCTATTGATTCTTCGAGGATTAAATGATGTGATTTCAGTGATGCCTTATATTAGATTGCTTCATTGACACTAAACAACCAAGACATTAAATTTAGAGATGTGAACTTGGGGGTAAAAAACATGATTTCTCAAGCCTCAATTTGATCATAATTAAAAATCTCAATTTCTGAAATCTTTGAATCTGTATAAAAATTGTGATGTGTGAGGTATGAAATTCAATAGCTGAATTTTTTTCATTTTTTCATTGATTACATGGCCATTTGGATATAAAATATCTGTTTTCAATAACAGTAGTATTTATTTTGTGAATGTCAAGCTCCTTGAAGAGAAAAAGTAGTCATTATTTGAATAGTTGGAAGAAAAAAGTCACAGGTGTTTTTAATACCTGTCAACATGTATGGGTAAAAATTTGAGAGTATGGGAAGAAATGGATGGACTTGAAATCAGTGAAAACTTAATTGGAGCTACACAGAATCTATATAAGAACAGCACCTTTATCAGGGTTGCTGTCTTTCTGCAACACTGTTTAAAATATATCTGCATCAAATTTAAGATCAGTGGGAGAAACAATGCAGACTAATGGGATTGGCCATCGGAGAGGATAAATTATATACATTGTATTTTGCTGATTACCAGGTAGTAATTGCAGAGGATGCGGAGGATTTGAGTTTCATGATCCATAAACTCAAAGAAAACTTTTTAAAAGCAGGACTTAATATTTACATGAACAAATCTGAATACCTGGCATTTGGTAACAACGAGATAGATCTTCTGGAAAATGGAGTAAACAAATGCAAATATTTGGGTGTTCTTTTGAACAAAAAGGGAAATGGACAAGAAGAAACCCTTGAGATTTTCATGCTTAATTTTATAAAACAAAATATTGTATCTCTATAATTAGCGATATTAGTGCAAAATGTTGTATGCCAGCAAGTGATAAAAATTAGTAGGTACTCCAGAGCAATTGTTCTAGAGTATTAGTAGGCAGAACTACTTCCCATGAGCAATTACTTCTCTTCATGCGAATAAAAACATTTACATTAAACCTGGAGCATTTACTTTTATCTCTGAGTAATTGCTCACTAACTGATATGTTGCGATTGGTCAATTTTTGTTACTGCATATCACGACTGTTTTGTTATCGCACATCACGTGCTTGTTCCTGGTGGTGTTGACCGTGTTAGGTTGAGAGGTACAGTTGACATGCATTGTTGGGGAAATCATAGGAAATCTTCTATTGTACATTCACTCACTACCTACAACTCACAACTAGCTCACCACAGTTGTATATAACCTATCTTGTATCCATTCAATATGATTTAAATTAATTAGAGAGGTGACTCCAAAATTAGAAGTAAGTGCTTTGCACTATAGTGCGTCTGAGTTTAAGAATGAAGTACAGGGCCTTATGGGCTTTTCCAGTAAATAAACATACCTCCTGTTTTTAAGATTTTAAAACTGTTGTGAAACTGTCATTTACATAATATTTCATCACAGCAATTACCTTATTAAAATAATACCTCGAATACATTATGTATTTACCACAAACTGTGGTAAATATCTTTAGAGTGTATTATTTTTTGAAAGAAGGGATATGATTGGCTGTTACACCAGCCACAGCTGTGGTGCTATGTGCATCGGTTGCCATAGCTTACTGTGCTCAGAAAGTTAGAGTTCCGATTTTTAACATATTTGTTCACCTATATATAGTTGTTTTGTTTTCGAGATTTATGGTTTGAATCTCATCAAAGTTAATTATGGTTTTGTTTATTTTTCATTTTGGTTATTAGGTTGTAGTAAATTTATTAACTTACAATTTTTTAAAATTTGATTTCCTTTTAGTTTTCTAACTTAATTTAGAAATTAGGATCCATATACCATAAAGTGCCTCATCTGCCGCGATGCAGTTCGGCTTCCTGTGGGTCAAATCGGTCTGTTCCCGTGGGGCCTACTTTTTTTGCCATCAAATGAATTTTAAATATTTTGTTTGATAATCAAAACTTATTATTTATCAACTGTTAAAAAGGAAATAAGAGGAATAGCCTTTTTGCAACTGTGTAATTAGCTTGAATTTTGGATATCTGTATTGAAGTAGTGTTGCACTTTGAAATTAATATTTCTTCATGACTTCTTATGACATTTTGAAACACGTGAGAACCTTAACAGAAACGTTCCTGTGTATCGGAGTTTCTTAGGAACAGTATTCGATTTGAGGAAACGGAGGAAATACAATTTCAGAAAATTGGAAAGGTTTGAGATAAAGTACTTGGGCGCTAAACTGGCGCTCTGCCCCATTGTAGGATTCATTGTTCCCACCGAGGGTGTAACTTTCTATTCATACAGCATAGCAGAAAAGCACTACCTTTGGTATCACTGTCTCAGTAAGAGTCCATACTTGGTTCTTACACTTGATAGAAATTATACGTATATTATCCTTTATATTAACTAGATTTCATATAAATCACTAATCATCAGTTCCATACAGAGATATCAAGGAAAGGTTATTTGAAATTGTGATTAACAAATTTTACTGAAATTTTGTGTGCATTAAAAAGGTCCATTTCAAGATCATTGATTATTTCACACATTCTTCTGATTCAGATGATTTTACTTAAGACGTTTGAAGTATTTATCTTCATTTTTACGTTACAAGTGGAAATAGGAAATTAAAAAGGCTCTAAGTGAATATTTGTTTCTAACAAAAATTAGTTAAATTAATATAAATATGAAAGATACAGAAGCTTAATTTACAAAGAAAATACTCATCGTCAAGTAAGAAAAAAAAATAATTACATTAATGAAATGTTTTAAAATCGCTAAAATTTACAATCCATTGTGTGGCATGGAAACACATTATGTGATCTATTGAGTGGATGCTGTTTCACGTACAAATGCAGAAGTCATTGATTATCATGAATATAAAATTGGCTTTGAATTTTCATTTAGTCTAAACTACATAATGATTGCATTCGTAATGATAAAACTTTATATGTATATTTTCTTCAAAAACTGAAGAGCAATCTTTTTAGCTTAGGAGTTCATGGATCTTCACACTAAATTTAAAAAACAATTCATAAAAATTGAGTGGGAGGGGGGGGGGCTAAAAGGTCGCAAGGACAACGTAGTGTGAGAGAAGAAAGACAAATTTGAAGGTGAAGATGGTAGTGACAAAAAGTAGATTATCATTTTGATCTGGCTCTTGCAGATAAATCAGGTACTACCCATCCTTGAAGTAACCAATGTTATGGATTGTGAATGCTCAATTTTCGTATTTTATGTCGGTAATGTATGAAGTAGTGTTACTACATTAAAATGTAGTTGGTTGAGAAGAAATTAGGTTGTGTCTTTTACTATCTCACCTTATTTCAGAAGAAGGATGAATGGTATGTGTTCACTGGAAATGGTCGTATTGTCAGACCCTGGTAATGAAGTGGATAAATCTTGTTCCTACATGAAGTAAATTATTTCCTATCGCACATTGTGTAGACAGCTATCTATGGTCAGCAGTAGCACCTAAACTGTTCTGACAATTTTCTCCGAAATTGATATTCCAGGTAGATCTGAATGAACTCAAAACCCTGCGAGATTAAAACAGATATTTTGGTTTTTCAAAAAATTGGGAATGTTAAATAATGCACAAAAAAGTATGTGCTGTTTAATCTCCTCCAGTTTAAACATTGTAATAAGTATTTTTGTGCATTTGAGTTGCATTGCTACTTAGTTGCTTAAGCTGGTGTTGCTACCAGTTTCCTAACTATTGTTCTGTGATGTCACAGAGGTTAAGTAACTGGAGGCACCACAGGATTGTTGATGGGTGACTGGAAACCTTGTGGATCTAATGACGCCAAGCCCCTGGCTGAAGGGAAAAAAGACAATGACTGCTTACGTTAAAAGACCATACTCTGTTTGATGCCAGTAAAGAGCTTATAGAAAGTTTGTATGCAAAATTAAAAGGAAAAAAGTTTGCTTTTCTCTAATTTTTTTTCTTGACGTTCATTTTCTTTGCTTAGAATAGTAGAAAAGTAGAATCTTAGAATAGTTATATTTATTTAAAGATGCATAAACCCAGAGGGCATAAGCCCCTTAAATTACTTCTAGTTAAGGTCACTCATGTGCAAAACTGTTCAAGGGATATTTTGTGATACTAATGTTCGTTAAGGTCATCCTTTAAATCCTTATGCTTCGTATAATTATGTTTAAATGTCTGCAGTATGTGTGTATTTATATATACATGTATACAGATAATCACAGTCTGTGAAAAATTGGACATTGGTGATCTCTAATCTTTATTCATATTATTAGAACATCGTCCCAAGACCTTTGTTGAAAATAGTTTTACATTCAATGATGTAATTTCTTTTGTCTTAGGTTGGGAAGTTACGTCTTGCTGTGCGGGAAGCGCAAGCGATCAGCAAGGGAGCGAGGTGGTTTACATGCTGAATACGATGCCTTAAGTACTGCACCATCCAGTGGCATGTCCTCCAGTCGATTTGAACGTCGCCGCACACGGCATGTGCTTGCACTGCGCAAATTGTCGCTCTCTGATCCTGCTCCGAAAAGTAGCCATAGTGTTGGCAACAGTGCTGGAGACCTTCTTAGTTCATCATCGTTGAGTAGTTCAGAATCTGATGCTGGCTTGTATACAAATGATGAAGGTCGAGAAGGTGAGTTAGGGGGCCCAGAATTTGCATTTGTGAATTCCATTCACTGAGGACAAAACTTTCTTCTTACCCCAACCCATAAGCCATCCTACAATGTAATGTAGATTGATAAATTTACAATTGGTACCAAAACTAAATTAAATAACAACTTTAGTTTATAAGTTTGCATCTAGATACTCATGAATTTGATGTTTTTGTTGATTCATGACCTCCTTTATTGCAGAAAGGTGAAATTTATGTTAATTCTAGTAGTGACTAAATTTGTCTATATTTTCTACATAATGAACAAAATCATATGGACCTGCTATTACCCTATTAGTGTGAGATTTTACCTGTGTATGAATTGAACTTAAGTCTTTTAATTCGTGGACAACAAATGTGACTAAAAATGCAAAAGGAAATGACAAAACAATTATGTTTTGTTAGAGTATTTCAATATTTTTTTAAAATTATGATAGAAGCTGACTCGGCTTTGTATATATGAAATATATAATCCACAATTCAATTTGAAATTCAACATCAGTTAAGATACTCTATAAAGTTAATGTACTACAGCTTCTGTGTCATTGACACCCATCTCAATCATGACACCATTTCAAATTAAATAAGAATGATTTGGCAATATTTGCTAATGTAATTGTAAATGTAAATCGTGAACCAGAAGCTGAGGTCATAAACTGAGGTCACTGCAATCCCTCTGATCGAGAGGTCCTAGGTTCGAGTCCTGATGGTGGCAGAATTTTCGACACTAGCTTGTCAGCTGGGTCAAATACAAACGCTGTCTGGAGGAGAATTATAGCGGCTGGGTGCTCTGATCGGTCATGGTTACTTTGATCAACGCCACACATATAGGAGTGCTCTGACAGACAGGCCATTTAGTGTGTGCAATCTTGCCTACCTCTTCCTTCTATCCTCACCCCCTCACACTTCTACATATTTACACTTCTACATATTTACACTTCTACATATGCGGGGGACCCATTGGGAGGTTAGAGCTTGTCCTGGTTGGGGCGGTGCTCCGCTGTTGGGAGATACCTGGTTGAGGGGAAGCCCTGCTAGACGGCAATAGGTTGGCGCTGGATCTCGCCATGTAGCAGGGGTAGACCACTGACACCTCTTGACCAAAGCACACAGGACACTTACGGGAAAATGTCCTTAGTAGTTGGTGTGCCTGGAATCTCTTAACAGTCAACCAATCAATCTAAATCTTATGCAAGTTGCACTGCAGTATTTCATTCCTGAGCTGATATAATGTTTTGTTTTCTGCATAGTTTGTCAGAATCCATTTGTAAGTGTTCTCAAGAGCCTTGTTTGTCTGCAGGTGATGATGAGCAAAGTGACTGGGTGGGAGGTGGAGGCGGAGGCTGGTGGGAAGACTACGATCCAGATGATGGCTCTCCGGAGCGTCTGCCGTCTGATAGGGTTTTCGATGCCATTCTGACTGGCAGTCTTGCCCACATGTCAGAAGAATCTAAGGCGAGCTATAGGATGCGCATGCAGGGCTTGGTGAGTGTTGTTAGTTTTTGAAAAAGAACTGAAAATTGGTTTTATTTTATATCTTGTCCAATGTCTACCCTCTCAGCCACTTCAGACAGGCCCTTCTAATTACCCTTAAGTATTGTTAGTTCAGTCACGAGTGATTTTCTGGCTGGGGTGAACCGACTGACAGTGGACAGGTGGGGGTGGTCCGACTGACTGAAGGACTGTTTTTGAGCAAATTGTGGCTCGAATTTCAAATTTTTAAACTGATAAAATTGGTTTAATTATTTTCACTATCACTCACATTGTTCAAAAATCTTTTAAATTAAAAATGTTAAATACTTGTAATTTAAGCGCTTGAAAGCTTTTTTAAATTTGTTCCAAGAATTTGTCGCCCTGACTGACACCGACTAAACCTTTGAACAAATTTAATTATTAAAATGCATTGATACCTAATAACATGGTCACGAGTTAGATTTCTTTAAGACTGCAGAACATATGCTTCAAGTGTAATTGTTTTCATTATGGGGACGGGAAAAGTGACTATTATATCTATACATATGAGTCGGATTCTTGGAAAAACACTGAGAAGGTACTCCAACATTATCAACATATCATGTCAAAAATCAATTTCAAAAACTAATGTGTTTTTTTTTCTCTCTTCATATTTGAATTTGGTGCCAAAACTGGTTGACGTAAATAACTTCAAAAAATTCAACTATTTTTCCTAGTCTACAATTTTTTTCAGCCTGATACATACTGGTAGCAGAGGAAAAACTCAAACATGTTTCTCATTGAATCTTTAATAGATTGCTCTTGGGGGCAGATTTTTGGGAATTATACCCTTTTGTATTCTTTTTCATACGATATCAATTTGATTTGGAGGCACTTTTCATTTCTTGGTTCAGCTCTAATCTTCGTTGCCCTAATTATTACTGTACTACATGTCTGTAAAAATATAAAAGGACGTCTGTTGTGAAAGACAACTTGCTTGAATAATTTCTGAAGGATGTATTACGAAGGTATTTCTTGTGTTTACAGAGCGATCGTGAAATACGTGCAGGTCGGCGACGTCTCCGTCCAGAACGGCCCGGGTTTAGCGTGCTCACCTCGGCCAATGAGAAGCTGTCGCGCTTCCTCCAGGACTCCGCCCAGTCGGAGCTGAGGCTCCACCCCATGCAGGCCCCCGAACGTGCGCAGCTCGGCCACCTGGCTGCCCTCTACTCGCTGCACATGCGAACTGATGCAGGCTCGCGTCCTGTGCTCACCAAGGTTTGTGCATATAACCTACCAGTAACCATTAAATAGAACTTGAAAATTAATAAATAAGGCTGTGTTAAACTATTTGTTACGCCATGAGTCAATTATAAATAGATAATTGTTTATACAACCGAGTCGGTGTTGCCTTTTTTTTTTTTGGAGATTACAAATAAAATTGAAATACAAATACAAAAGAAAAACTACAGATTGCAAAAGGCATTGATATTTTATTTCTACAGCATCTACATACATAATTATTTACGCACGTATCACGAATATTATTTATTTTGCATGTGTCTATACATTCTTAATGCCTTAATTTTTTTATTCAGTCATACCTAGTTCATATATTCCCATTTAATTTTAGATTTAAATTTCGATAAATTAGATTTTTGTTTGTTTGTTTGTACATTTTTAATGTTCTTTGGAGTCTTTTCCTCCTATATTTTTCATATTTCTCACAATTTTGATGTACAATTTAAATTTGTTGGCTGTTTGTACGTTTTCAGAGTTTTCTCTTGCATATTTTCTAAATCTCCACTCTGAGTAAGGAAGCGGTGCGAAATTTGGAGCAGATAAATTATTACAAGCAGATAATATTCTATTTATTGAGGAAAATATTCCTGCTTTTGGTTTGTGGCTTTATATTGTTGATCAAATCAGTTTAGCAAGCTTCTCAAGCCTTGGATTTCGTGCCTTGCAGAGCAGCCTTCCTTTAATCCTTCCCTCTCATACCAGTTCTTACTGCATGGATGTGCTCCCCTGAAATGCATCATTTACTCCTTTTTAAAAGGAGTTTACTGTTTATATTTACTTGTCATTTACTGTTTATATTTAATCCTCCCAACTACCTCTGTATGTATTTAATGGTGACATATTTGCAAGTTGTTTTGCTTTCACATTGCATTTTTTTGGTAATATGAAAACAAAGTGAATAGATCTTGGAGCTTTAAAAACTAAATAATTCATTTTTCTCCCTCACACCATTTTGTTGCCCATTTGAACACTACATTATTATATTAATAAGATTAATCTCAATGCTCCTATTAATAACAAAAATATATGAAATCTGATATTTGCTAACCTAATAATTGCTGCTCTTATTATTCTATTTTTTATTTTAAACTACGAGACCTACAGTCAGTAGAGAAAGGCATGTAAAAATGTTAAAAATCAGTGGCAAGATTGACATCAATATTTACTTCAATTAGGAACCAGAATTACTAAGTCTTTTTTAGTTTTAGAATGACACCATCTCCAAAACTATTCTCAGCATTTTATCACGAATGCATGTTGTAATCTGGGTTGGTTGGGTAAATTTCACATTTTGTAAATGCAAAAGAAATCTCTTAATGTTGGAGAATTCTTTATAAGCAGCTCATACTGGATTACAAAATGTTTTTCAAACATTGCCTCTTGTTTTCTTGGTATGTTTTGTCTGAAATTCAATGGTTGGAATGGGCTACAATTAAATAGTTTATTTATATGGTAATATATGGTTCCATACGATTAACCCTTTCTCATTCTTGTTTTACCTCATCACCACAGAAGTACCGCAATTTCTTATCACTCCCGTTCCTTGTCTGTTTGAATGCTGCATTTCACATTGGTGATAGTGGACCAGGTCCATGAGAAAAATCTTTTCTCTTTTCTCATAGTATTGCCAACCTTTGTTAATGTGTTTTTAAAGAAATGAAATGGGGTAGTTGTTTTCAGCTGATGTCACGAGCCACTATTAAGGTGAAATCATGATAGGCAGGATGTGATAAAGTTATGGCTCCATCTACCAAAAAATAGACAGTACCTCTCTTCTGGTAGATTTTTGCGGATTTAAATTTTGGGAATGTAAGTTTGTGCTCTCCATACTGTACTTTGTGCTCATATGTGTTTTCTCATTTCCATGCTTTATTTATTATCTGTAAATTTCATTTTCATCCATAGATGATAATTTTCATGAACAAGAGACTGCATTAGTTAACAAAACATCGTACTCCACAAATAAAATGTGTTGTTCCACTGTTTAAATGTTTTCTGTCTTGAGTTTGCACTCTGAACTGCTTGTCTATTATCTTAAGATACCTATAATTCAGAAAATGTCCAATCATACTTTCCTTTGGACATTTATTTATATGAAAAAAATTATATTTTTCATATTAATAGATGTCCAATCAAATTTAGTTTCTTCAGTATCGCATATTATAGAAATGAAAAATGTTACTAAATTATTTGATACATTTGCTTAATATTGTTCTACACTTTGTAGAATTCATGCAATTTGAAGAAGGTAAGTTTGCAAGTGCAGGAGCTGGGCAAGTTTTTAAGCTATGTTGCCTTGGCAGTAAATTTCATTGCACAATCTTGGGATGTACAGATAAAATTTGGACAAACCTGAATTATTACTAATTGATGCAGCATGTACTTAGTAAGGAATACAGCTAAGAGAGACTTGCATATTAAGAATTGGACATAATGGACTTGTCCTGGAGTCAGTTCAGTAAATAGGTGTGCATGAAGTTTTTGTTTTTATTATTAATGTTATTATCTTTTTTATTTTTTTATTTTTGAATTGCACCTTTAACTACTCTTCATGTTAATTTCTAAATTTGTAGAAAGGAAAATTAATACTACATAACTGACTTGAAAACATAATGAATTCTGTGTGTTTTCAATGTATCCAGACCCAGGACACCATGCGAGCAGTGAGAGTAGACCAGCTGGCATCTGGGCTCTCGGGAAGCGCTGCTCGGCGAGGCCATGGGCCAGCATCTGCAGATTTCAAGCGCCGGCGAAGACTGCCTCCGCAACAGCAGCTCCCAACTTCTGACAATGCTCAACCAATGGGTAGGCATCAATTCTTGGCTGTAGTTTGTCTGAACAAGTCTCTTCCTCTGGTTGTTTTTTATTTTTATTTATTTTTTTTATTTTTACTGATTTTTTAAATCATTGAAAAGACCAAAAAACTGATTAAGTTCATGCACTGTTCATTTCATTCAATAGTTCATATTACGAAAATGACAAATAAACACACACAAACTGACTGTAGATCATTTAGTGAATTAGTTTTAGCTGTAGTAAACTCCTTCGCAAGTATTGAATAGAGTCTGGGCATAGATCTGATTAGAGAATTCTGTGTGTGTCCATTGTGCTGTTAGAGAGGCACTTGCAAACCTCAGCAACTCTTTTCTCACTTTCTCTTTTTAGACTATTTTCTAATACCCTTACTGCCATTCTATTCTACCCCTGCTATTCTCCTTTTTTTTTTTTTTTTTTACAAAATCTGAATTGTTGATTGAATTTTTTTGTTTGTGATTTTGTAAATATAATTATTCTTTAAAAACTAAAAAAGGAACAAAGGAAGAGAAACAGTCAACACAGCTGAAAGTGGGGAAACTATAACATTCAAACGGGACACTCTGTACTCAGTCTGAGAAGGGGTGTAAAGGAGGACATGGGGAGTGCCTTCGTGAGAAGCATGCTCACGCATGCACACTAGCAGGGGAACTTGCAGAAGGAGTAGCAATGGCCTGATGATCTGTAAATTTTGCATAATAGAAGAAATCAATGACTTAGTCGTCTTAGAAGTTGATAATTCATTACTGTAATTATTGAATGAATAAATGTTCATTTCTTTTCAGATTTATCCAGTAAACCATGTTAGGATCACATAATTGGCAATTGTAATTCAGAATTTCCTAGTTTGAAGCAACTACTTGGCAATGTTTTGGGTTTGATCTACCAGAATGCGATTATTTAGAGGAGCATCTCACTTTCAGAAGCTAAATGTCATATGCAATGTTTTTATTGTCACCTACAATAACAATGCAATATCATGCTGGGAGGCAAGTTTTAAATTACTTTTAGAAAACCTGGATATTATAAGAGTAAGTTTTCTATTGCTAAGATTGATCTAAAACCAATAACTAAATTTCAGAAGAAAGTGGAGGTTGCTGGATTTGAAATTAATCTTGTTTATGAAAATTTAATTATTATACGTTTTTAATAAAAATTGATAACAATTTTGCATATTTTGGGGATTGGTGTTTTCACCAGTTAATTTGGAAAAGCGATTTTATTAAAAAAAAACAATAATTTTTTAGTGTAGATACTCTAGTATCTTGCATCTTTACATTGATACAGGCTTTACATCACTATTTTTGGAAAAAATCTCGCTATTTGACTTTTTTTGAAAAAAAAAAATCATGGAACCCGTTATCTTACATCTGACACACATGATTGTAGAGATTGACATGATCTGACACAGACTGGCTGGATGCTGCTGAATACTTCCATCTCTTGGTGACTGGATTGGTCTGTTCGTGTACTGTTCAGCCGTTTGTCAAAACTTTCTCAAGGGTTTTTAAAAGGAGATCCTTGTAGAGTGGTTTCGTAGTGTTTTCCAGGCTGCTGTGAAAGAATGAAGTGTCTGTATGTTGGGACTTATATTTTTCTAACATTTGAACATTGTTGCCTCAAACACTGTAACAAATTTGACCGTTCTTCACCAACCAAGTTTTCATAATCAATCTTAAATTTTATCCCAAAGTCTTTTTCTGTTATACTTCTTTATTTGAAGTAATTGATTACACCCTAAACATTTTGCATACACACCAATATTTTCACATAGGAAAGCTTCCTCCCAATCTGGACCAAAATACTTTAAATCCCTGCTGCAGGTTTCAACAACACCATCACTGTTACAAAAGTACTATTGATAGTTTGCTTTTGACGCTAGTTGCTCTGTGAAGCTTGTGGCATGAAGCATGGCTCTGCTACCAGTAGAAGACTTTGAGGTCACTGTTCTGTATTTACTAATAATTTAATTGCCAGTACAATTTTGGCTCTTTTCACTGCGTCAGTGGAGATTGGACAGTCCTGATTGTGTGTTTGCAGAAGTGGCAGCCGGAGTGCCTCCGCTGTCTGAGACCAACATTGGCTGCCGCCTCTTGAAGAGTATGGGTTGGACGCCCGGCCAGGGGCTGGGGCCCGGTGGCACGGGCACTCAGGAGCCCATCACTGCCTCGCTCAGGCCACGCCTGCTTGGCCTGGGTCACTCGTACAAATCCAGCTAGACTCCGCCCCGCCCTGCCCCGCCCCACCCTGCCCTGCCTCACTGCACCCCCACTTCACCCCCACTTCATCTCTCGTCAGATACTCACTTCTGCATTCTAGAATTCAGTTGGTAGTGTTTGTACGTTGGCTGAAGGGTTTGTATTCTTGACCCAGGTAGTACAAAGGAAAGGTTGCCCAGTGCTAATATTCTATAGTCGTGGACATTTTCACTTCACAATTGTCAGTGGAGCCATTGGCAACTAGAAATATATTTGCTGTGACACTAGTAGCAGGCAGATAATAAAATAGATATTTCTGCAAGACTCCACCTCCACCTTCAGCTTTATATAAAGAGGGGGGTGTCATCTCTGCTTCATTTGTATTTAATACAATTTCTTTGACTAGATGTGACATTTTTTAGGAGATTTTTATATTGTTATCAGATTAATTCTTGTGGAATTATTTCACCCTAATAAATTTGTTGTAATCAATGACTGCCAGTATGGTTGTGTTAAATAATTCCACAAGATATCAGTAGTTTAGAGGTATGAAGCAAAGCATGCCAGAACTAACAGAAGCAGGAGGGCAGAGGGTGAATAAAATACAAGCAGTGCTTGTACCATTTTATCATGAATGTTGTAGGTTATTGTATTGTGTCCATGACGTCTTGTTGCATTAATGTGTGGAAAACAATTTATAAAAAAATATCTATATTAATAGATTTAAATTTCTTCCAATTTTCATAATTATGTTTATAAGATTTAATTATAGAGAAATGCTATCTTCTGTAAAAGTTAATTGACATGGTCATTGCTCATATAGAAATGTGTGCATTGCTTTTGTTTAGACAAAGAACAGATCTACAATTGCAAGTTCTGTTCTCCGAATTGGATTGAGGAATTAGACTTGGAATTATTGACTTCTTTGGAAGTATATGTATTTGAGTATGCAAACTCACTAGCAGAGAGAGATGTTTGACCAAGGTACAAATTACTACTGTGGCAATGTCAGTTAACTTACTACCTTGTTAAATGTACATAATCTTATTGGTACCTCATACATACCAAGACAAACTATTAAATGATTTGTTGTTTCTGCATAGAAGTGTTTTGCTAATGCATCATGTGCACACACTTGCTTCCATACCAAATCTGATTTCAGTCATCCAAATGGTTTTTAATTCCTCTTACGTCAAGTCACCAGTATTCTTTTAATCCAATTATACAACATCTGGAAAAGCTAGTATTAAAAATCGCTGGAGTAATGCTAAATTAATTTCCCAATTCATAAAACTCCTCATTGTAACCACACTGATCATTTCTCCAAGAAGTATTAACATAACTCCATCAAAGTCAATCTTACATTGTGCAACATAAATACGTATTCATTGGAAATTAAATAGATGTACTGAACCAAATAGCCTGGAGTAACCATTCCATGAGAATAGAAAATTTGTTGCTAAAAATCTTTGTGAGAAAAATTAATACAGTAAAATCTGTCCAAACCGGAATTAATGAGGTCAAAAAATTATTCCTCTTTAAGGTCTCTGTTGTCCCTTTTATGACATGTTTTTTTTAACAATTGTGAAACTCGTAGAATCACACCATCTTACTGCCTTGTGGCTGCATCTGGACTGCTTGCTGACTCTCTACCCACAATGCGTCACAACCCAGAGTACTGTCTTTCTGATACACTCTTATTTCCTTGACCAATGTGGCTCTGGCTGTGGAGATATGATTGTCAATGTGTCGCTGGTAAATGCATAAATTCAAGCCACGGCCGTGCACCTTCGCACGCTCAAAGAGCCGGGAGAGGGAATTCCTGTATGCATTGAGAGACTAGCGATCCCCAAGACTGAATTCGACGCTGACAACGCTGGAGCTCGATACCGTCACTGTTCAGCTGCCAGAACTGAAACTAATCGCTGGGATGGAGAAATTAAAACCAACTTGCAGATGCATTAATGAAGACGATCTCCCGTCTCTCTGTCAAATGCATTAAGTTTTCAGAAAATTCTGCTTTATGAAGGAAAATCCTGCAGGACAAAAAAACGTTCAATTTCTGCGTAAGATTCTGTTTTATGATGTGTGTAATGCCATTTAACTTGCGGCCTGACAAATTTTTCCGCTTAAGGCAAATTTCCGCCTTACATGTTCTGGTTTTGGCAGATTTTACTGTAGTACATTAAAACTTTTTAAGTTCTTTACATATCAATGGGTACACCGTTTGACAAATATACAGAGATCTTTGCCTCTCCCTAGCAAATAAAAAGAAATGGGTTTGTTGGAAAGTCTCCAGACAATTTAAAACATTTTAATTCATTACCTATTTTTACATGAAAATATTGGAAGCCTATCTATTAGTGTATTATCACTATGTTCTGAATAAATCACATAAATATTTGACTGGAATGAGTCTGATGAAAATATCTCTGGTTGCTACAAAGTTGAAAAAAGTATAGCAAGATGTATTCCTTGTATTTTATTCAATGTATTCCTAGTCCAATGAGAGAACAAAGTGGATGGAAACAAATGCAGGAGGGTATGCCGATTGGCTGCAAGACCACGATACACCGTTTTAAGCAGGCGAAATAAAATACCTATGTGAAATTCCGGTAACTGTTTTATACAATAGAATACGTGTAACGATAAGTAGAAATCAAAAATATTAGTGCTTATTTACTTTAAATTATATGAGTTGATACGCGAGACGTAAGTGCTATTGTTAATAATCAAACAGCTTGTAGCGAGAGAGAAAGTGTTTCAGGGTGTTTTTATCCAATGGCGAATCGCGCGATATGTGTGAATTAAAAATAATTACGTACTGACTCATTATTGTTGAGCATTAGCATGAAAGAGTACGAATGAATGCGTCTTGTGGAATCAATAGATCGATTTTTAAGAATTGTGGGTTTAAAGTGTATTGCAAAGTTACGGGCAATAACAGAACACTTGCCGCGATTATTATGCATCATCGTTCATCACGCGATTATTATGCATATTAATCATCCATCGGGAAAGACTTAATTGCGGTGAAGTAACTTTTATTTTAAATTCGTTACTCAAGAAGAAATTGGAACTGTCAGTTGATGACTATGACATTAACAGCAGAATTAACTGCGTTCGGCGCCACAAGTGTAGCGTACGAAAGGAGGAAAAATGTCGAAGGTATTTAACATTACTAGACGCGCTTTCTTCAGGAAGATAGATTTCACTTTCTGTATGACTTCAAGTTCGTTTGAACGGATTTATTTCTAATCTGAATAATTTTATTGCTGTTTCCGAGTGAAATTTGTCGTAAGCGTGAAATTTCATTCACCGCAATAATTACTGCTGAGGTTCTCTTTTTGATGTTTTCTGAGTTTAGTTTTGTGAGTTTGTAGTTACACCCAAGATCCATATACATTGTGTGTGGTATTTGTTTTCAATTTCCAATTTTGGTTAAAGAAGGGTGCACGATCTACCTCAGAGAAGCGGGGGGGGGGGCTCTTTAAGCCCTCTTTCAAATTACGCTACGCGCTCTAATAGAAATGAATAAAACTTACGGATATGCAGTTTTCATGGCTCGCCCTTCATACGCTTTGTCCCCGCCACTTTGTAATGCCGATTTACTTCCAACGGCAAGTTTTCTTGCTTCGCTCGCTCGTATCAATGTCACGGCGAAGCCAGGGTCTTCGGCCCTCGCGTTCACTATAAACTTTCTTGAGTCTAACCACCTCGTAATTACCAATTCACTTTTATAAGAAAGCACTTTTCAAGAAAACCTCCAGACTTCCGTGAATTGTACCGTATACTAGACTTTATCCCCAATTTTCACCCGAAGTTGATGCAATTCTGGGCGTTGGCAGTAAAGGTAAGTGTTAATCCCCACACTTCTATCATCGCAAATATTTACAGTAAAATTGAATTTTATAAACAAAATCCTGTTTTATTTTAAATGAGGGAAAGATAGACGCAAAATAACAATGATTGGGGTGCGTTTTCAATTGCCAAGATAGGAATAATACATTTTAAAGTACTTAAAAATACATGCTCAACGTTTTTCCCATACTTCAGTTATTTTAAAAATTAAATTCTGTAATACTAGGTTTACATATGGTCGTCCATTAATTATATTTTTCTTTTCTTCATACAAATAGGAAGAAAAGCATTTTTAAAAACCTTTATCGATATCAAAAAATAAAGCTAATTTTATGAGTATTGGTGAAGGCTGCAACGGAGAATATCACTATCACGGACTCTCGCTCACTCTACTTCGTGAGATGAACATTGAAATTGTCAGCTATCGGGCACCAGGAGGCTACCACTTCTTAGGTCGGGAAAATTCCTTATTTCAACAGGGGGGGGGGGCAGAGAGATTTATGGTAGGTCACTTACACGTTCACTCAAAAAAGGATAGTTTTTACAAATCACTAAAAATGTGCGTATTATCGCCGTAAAAGTTACTTTAAAATAATTATATTCGTGTAATTTTTAAAAAACAAAAGAATACCTCACTATAAACATTAATGCATATTCAACAGTACAATTAGCACTATAAGTTGAAAAAGTTTTCAGAAGAACTTAAAGCAATTTTTGTAAAAATGGCGCTTGAGTGTTTCTAAAATGGCGGTATTTTGAGCTCATTTTCACAGAAAACTGTAGCAATTTTAAAAAACTTTGTATGACATTATTATTAGCACATGTATTCCTAATGGAATAATGTTCAGAATTTGTCGCTAATGTAAATATTAACAACGTGGGAAGATAGTAAAAAAATTACATTTTTGTAATTAAAAAAAAAAAGTATTCGGCAATATAGTGTTTATGACATCTCATAGAGTACATTTATCACTATCCCTAAGAAAAATGTAAAGAAAAAAATTTAGAGCCTTTTTGAGATTTTTATTTTGCTATATTTTAAAATTGCACATAGGCAAGTAATATTTCGTGCAAAGTACTAAAAGTTTTAAAAAATGTACAAGAATGTAATCAAAGAACTAACTACGGACAACAAATTTCATTTGAAGAAAAAATCTCTATCTTTGTTTTTGTTATCATAGGAAAACGCCAAACAAATTCAAACTTATGCAGTTTTCGAAAATTTAGTTGCCCGTAAAAATCTGACTGACGCTACTTTTATATTAAATGTATTTTACTCTATTCTTAAAACATATAAAGAAAAAAATTGGAGCGGTTTTGAGAAAATTTTGGAAATGTTCGCGGGGTTTCATGTAAAGTACCACCAAAGTTTAAAGAATAATTTTCAAAATCTCAAAATATCGAGTCGAATCAGAAGGATAGATGTTTCTTCGGTTTGGAAAAAAATGTACGTATGATTTAGGCGCTGTGGTGTTCACAGATGGATAGACAGACAGATGGACATTTTGAAAAAAAAAATAGGTAATAATTTTTCGGTGTCAGGGGACTCCAAACGTGCATTTTCGTTGAAATCTCAAAATCGATTTTCCGCAGCTTTAAACAACTTTCCCTCTACTGTGTGTATTATTCAGTATATACGTACGTATAAGGGAAAATAAAAATTGTATCATCAAAATTGTACTTCGGCAAAGTGAGTTTTTTGTTTTTGTTTGCATTTTCCGAAAATACAGAGAGTTTCTGAAAAGTGCAAAAGCTTCAATTCCTTTGCCATTCTTGCTACATAGGAGCAAAACCCGCTTGTCCAATTGAATGACCGATGCTACCTCACGAGCCGCGCTCGTCCAACCGCATGAGTGTGCCCCCGCGCCTCATTGCTGCGATTCCTCAACACTAGAACATTTTCGGCAAATGTTAACGGCCACCTCTCAAATCCGAGAGCAATATTAATAGCTCGAAGTTCTTTCCCCATTTCTCCAACCTTGTTCATATTGTACGTCACTGTAGCTAAAACCTCTAATTGACAGAAATACGAGTAGCACTATATTATTCAATTCCACCGTATTAATACACTAAACAACTATAAGGCTACTACTGTACGCCTGCTCAATAGGAATTAACGCCCACAAAACCAACATAAAAAAATTTAAGTAATACTGAATCAGTTCCTTTGAACAGCAGCCAACGCCCCATGATTCGTTTCCAACCTTCAACTTCATAAAGATTTTAACTTCGTACCGATATTATTGCACATTACTTAGCTATTCTTTAACTTTTACTTCAGCTTAAGTCTATCCCCCCGTGGTGACGTTCAGAGTCGGTACAAACCATAACCATCAGACCTAAATAAAAACAACGCCTGTAATTCATTCCTAATAAAATCCACCGAATTAAAACCAGATTAAAGGACCCATATGGGAATCCTCTCCAATTACAAAAGTTAATTATAAGATTAGACTTGTCTAGCCTATTGATATAAGTGCCAAAAGTTCAGAATTGCTTTTGTCCATCTCAAAGTGATATAATCGCCAAGGCCAGTGCAGTGTTATTGGCTCGAAAACTTTTCTATTTAGTTAAAATCTGCAACAAAACACAGCGCGTTTGTATTTGCCGTCTGTGAATCTCAGTTTTTTTTCTCTTTTTTCCCACGATTCTTGTTTTCGGTATTTCGATCAATTTGCTTCACCACTCTACTGTAGAGGACAAATGATCTGATGTACTGTAACGTCGTGTGTAGGGATCTACACCACAAGGAAACAGACACGAGTGAGTATATACAAGTTTTATTTACACACTGTACATATTTACATCCCTCACTCTAAGGCGGTTTGCCAGAGCTACCACTGCAGCCCTCCTCTCCCTACGTGCGCGTTGCGGCGACGCCTACGACCAGCCTGCAAGGCCGCGTCGCAGATAGGCACCTGGTGTGCCCCGGCAGATTGACGATCTGCCCGAATGTGTTTGAAGAACACATCACCCTGTCCGAACTCGTCGAACACCCACGTGCCCTCGGCACTCCGCACCAGCCTGGGCGGACAAAGTTTTTGTGGTCTAGCCACGAGGAAACCAAAATCGTTACCCACCCGCGCCGTCTCGCCACGGCGTCTTTATAGGTCCAGGTCACCTGACCTCCTACGTCACTACTCCCCACCCCCGCGCGGTGGAAAGCCTTTCCCTGGCGCTGCCTGGCCCGCGGACCATTTCCTGTCGGGAAAGTCCCGTCTTTGTTTGGGCGTCTATCTTTAGATCCCCCAGCCCTCTACCTTGCACTCGGCTGCTGCCAAGCCGTGACGCTACAGTACGTATCTTTACACGATTCCCGCTTTCTTCCAGCCGCTTGATTTCCTCAAAAATTGGAATTCGGTCGCAGGACATGTTAATCTGATGGCGTTTACGTCATTTTTAACTACTTGAAAATTCAGTGTAAAGTATTCCTACATTTTCTTCAAAGTGGTCTCTTAAGACGGGTAAATTAGAAAAAATTGTTATTAACGCTTTGCTCTGTAGTCGAGGAGGATCGATTTTCGTACATTGTAGGGAATTCGGTGAGTTTTCCCAAGAAAATTGGTTGTTCAAACGGGAGGTTATATCAAAGAGGCCAGAGAGATTTTGCTGTTCATTTTCCCACGCTGGCACAATTTTTAATGAGACGTTTCATGGTATTATTTCGTAATTAATTGCCAGGCAATCAGCAGTTCCTTAACTTGTCGGTTGTGGCGTAACACTTCTATTGATTCCAGTGGATAATTATTTCAAAACGTGTCAGAGATGTTTCATAAAATAATAGGTTAGA